CACCCCCTGCGGCCCCAGCTCCCCCACATGCCCTGACCCACGATGCCGGTCACACCGGTCTCTGTCTGGGACCCGTGCCCATCTGGACAGACGCCCATCCCTCCAGAAACTCCCTGGGCCCGCCTGACACTGGCAGGGCCGCCCACTCGGATACCGGGACCAGCCACACGGTGTCTGGCTGGCCCCCTTGGGGGGGTGTCTTCCCACCCAGAAGGGGCACACCCCGGGGGCAGGGACTTTGACTGCAGCTTTCATCCCCAGGAGGGTCAACGCGTGCATACAGTGGAGCTTAATAAATAAATGTTTGTTAAATGAACAGACATAGAACTCAAATGTGGAGACAGACCACAAGGTCACATGTGGACGGTCAGAGCTCAGTGGCCTCGGGCAGGTCCCAGCACTGCCCCTTAGCTGGGGTGGGGGTGGGGGAGGGGCTTGCTGGCTGCCCTGGGTCACGCTTGGGACCCGAGGAAACGGTGGTGTGGCCCTGCAGGCCCTGAAGCCACCCCCTCAGTCTCTGCTTCCCAGCCCTCCAGCCTGGCGTGTGCGACCTGCAGGGGCGGAGGTCGCACCTGTGGGGGCAGGTCCCCGTCCTGGGAAGGCCCCCTGGACACATAGTGGGAGGGAGAAGGGATCGATTAGCGGTAAGTGCAGCTGGGGGCCAGGGTAGCGGATGCCAAGCGGCCCAGAGATGGAGCTCGGGGCAGGTGGGCCCTGCTCAGGGGGACCCAGGTGGGGCGGGGTGTGCTGGGCACGATTCCCTACACCGTTGGACACCCGGAGGCCTCTCTGAGCCCGTCTGGGACAGCAGAAGTGTGTTTCACGGCTCAGCCTGGGTTCTGACTTACACGAGACCCTCGGAACCCAGACCCCACAAATGGGTTAAAGGGCCTGGCTGTGCCCCTCAGTGGATGAGCTATCACCGCTGGCTTCCTGAAGGAGGAGGCATTGCCCTGGCCCTTTGGGGGTGAGGGTACTGGCCCAGATGATGGAGGAGGTGCCTGCAGGTGCAGGAGAGGGAAGTGTGGGGCCTGTCAGGGGCCGTGCGGGGACCCTGGGGCCCTGTCCGGAGGGCCTACGGGTGAGGCTGGAGAAGGGGGGGTCCCTCCGCAGGGCACCTGGGTCTTGTGAGCAGAGGGGAGCCCTGTAAGGTTCCTGAGCACGGGAGGGCCTGCAGTTTGAGGCTGATAAGGCCCCATGGGCAGTGCTTACTCCACTTTCCTTCCTCTCTTCCCAGGACCCGCCCAGTGGCAGATCTGGGGGCTTGGGGGAGCCCTAAGTGGTGGGATCGGGGCCCACAGGGACACGGATTTCCTGCCCGGGAGCCACCGCGTCAAGGACCCCAGCCAGCCACCAGCTCTGAGACACCCTCCCTCAGGAAATCCTGGCCCCGGGGCAGCCCCCAGCTCAGGGAGGCCGGAGCCCGAAGGGATGATCCCGTGGGGAACGGCCCGTGGTCCTTTGAGCTACAGTGGCCCATGCCGCACGCCCTGCCACGACCCCAGGCCCCCGGCCCCCACAGTAGGCACAGCGCCTGGTCCCCAGCCCCCGAGGAGCCCCCGACAGCTCCTCCAGGTGGTGACGGGGCGGGGGGGGGGGTGCCCGCATGTCCGACCCTGCCTTTCCTGTCTGCCCCTCATCTCTGCAATGGCCACTTGGGTTCGGGGGGGCGCTGCAGACACCTCAGGATCTGCTGCACCTGTGCCCCGCTTCCTGGGAGAGTGCACACCACAGAACTTCACACCCGGTCTTCAGTGTCCGGGGCTCCAGGCCAGCTAGGGAGGAGCCCGCGGGCCTCAGGCTGGCCCTCACCAGGGGAGGAGGCGGCCCTCCCATCCGAAGGTGGGGCGGGGAAACAGAGGCCCCGGCAGGGATGCAGAGGTGAAGCGGCCCCGGGGGCTGCCGGTAGCTGGAGACGGGGGTGGGAACTTCCAGGGGGCCACTCAGAGGCTGCGGCTCCGCCACACAACCCCGCCTGGAGATGCGGGGCCAGAGGACAGCCCCCTGCCCGCTGGCCCGGCCACAGCCCCAGGAAGCACGGGACACCCTCCTCCCCCACCCAGCCTGGCCCAGGCCCCACCAGCACCCCCAGCAGTTGTGAGAGCCTGGTGTCAGGACTCAGGCCCTCTCTGCGACCCCCAGCTGGCTGTGGGGACTGGAGTCACCTGTGCTTCCCCTGGCCTCGGTTTCCCCAACTCCCTGTAGCCGACCCCAAGTACCTGACAGGGCCCTGGGCCCACGGGCTTTAACTGGGGACAGTAGAACTTGCGTCCCAAGAACAGACAGTGGGAGTCAGGGACACCCCCAAGTCCTGCCCTGCCTCTCACCAGGTAGGTGCCCTCGGGCGGCTGGCTGGACCCCCAGGGTCTCACACCCCCATTCACACAGGGGGGTAAAATGCAGGCTTTTCAGGGGATGGGGAGCAGAGTGGGGAGCGCTCTATCGATGGGGGTGGCCAGTGGTGCCCGATGCCCGTCCACTCTGCCCTCCCGGGCCTGTGATCTGGCCGAGGGACAGGACCCCTGGCGGGAGTGTGCGTAGAAACAAATGGAGCAGCGCAAACCACTCACCCGAAGCCACAGAGAGGGGTGGTGGGAAGCTGGGAAGCTGGGGCCGGGACAGATTCCGGAGCGGGCACGGGCACGGCTTCCCTGAGGACGGAGCCCACCTGGAGGCCAGGGGCCAGCAGCCCGCTCCCTCCCTCCCACCCCAGGGGGCCCGCCCCCCCCGCCCCCCGGTTTCAGAGTCCCTCCCACGTTTCTAGGCTCCTGGTCACGGGTGCTGGAGCCCCCGCAACGCCCTCCCCCCGGCCTGCCTCTCCCGGCCTGAGGGGGCCTGGGCGCCCCTCCTCCACCCCTCCAGCTCCAAAAATCAGTGCCCAGAGACGCAGGAGGCACAGGAGGCCTGTCCTCTGCTGCCACCGGCCAGCACCCGCCACCACCGGCCAGCACGCAGAGACTGGACGGGGGGCAGGACGACTGAGCAGCGCGGGGCCCGAGACTCCCGGGCACGGAGTCCGCTGAGTACCGGGGGCTGTGGGGCGCCGCTGCGGGTCCTCATGAGCCTCTCAAACGTGGCCCCCGGAGAGCCACCCTGGGGCCTCCTCGTCCAAGGGGTCTTCTGGGCCCTGACCCCACTCAGCCTTGGTCTCTGAGCCTCCCTAGGCTGCCCGCCCCCAGGGAGAGGCTCTGCCCACTTCCCCCCGCCCCGTCCCAGGCTGGATCTGGAGGTACAGGGAGGGGCCCCAAGGCTCCCAGCCTGGCAAGGAATCCGGGAGGCCTGGCCAGGGCGGGCCTGTCCCAGCCACCTCCCTCGGTCCCCAGCGTGGGGTCCCTGGACGGGGGGCGGTGCCGACTCACACCTCCTGGAAGCTGGGGTTTCCTCTCAGCAGAGAGAGCGGTCCGAGGTGCTCAAGGCCCAGACTGGGAGCGGCGGGAGCTGCCCGGCGGCACCGGAGCAACAGGCCGATGCCAGGGCGGGGGCGGGGGGGGGAAGGGAGAGGTGCCGGGCAGGGGTCTCCACACCGGAGCATGGGACACATTCTCCCCAGTGTGCACACGTGCACACACACTCACTAGCACTGCCCTGCACATGCATGCTCCCCAGTGCACACACGAGTGTGCACATTCACTAGCACTAGCTAGCTAGGGTGTGCACTAGCACACCCCTGTACACTAGCACTTCTCTTGCACATGCATGTTCCCCTCGGGCGCACACACACACACACACACACACACACACACAGGGTCCCCTTGCACCCTGGCTCCATCTCCCCTCTCTGCCTGCGGCTCCACGGTTTTGAGGCTCTCCCGCAGGGTCTGGAGGCTGCCCTGACATGGGTTTGTCAGACTGTCTCTGGACGGGGAAACTGAGGCCCAGTGGAGCGGCCCGAGCTGGCTGGGACACAGGGTACGGAGGGAAGGTGGGGCCCCAAGGTGCCAGGAGGTGCTGCCCTGCCCCGATGGCTCTGAAAGGCAGCTGTGGGCCTGGATGCCAAGAGCGAGGCCACAGGGCCCAGGACAAAGGGCCCTTTGTGCTGCCATTTCTTGCCTTATTGCCAGGGTTAAGGTGGCTGAAGGAGCCCTTGGAGGTGACCCCCCCCCCCGCCTCTCTGAATGCCGAGGCCCAGGGCGGGGACAATGGCCATTACCTTGCCCACCTCCCACCACCTTCCTGAGCCCACCGGGAGGCTGGTGGTGGGGTGGTGGGTGCCAGGCCCCGGAACCTCTGTCCCGCCACCCCTCCCCCCTCCCTAGGCCTTGCAGCATCTTTGGCTCCCACCCTCGCTGCCCCTTCCCGGGGTCCTGGGGTGCCTCCCCAGATGCCAGGCCCCACCATCTGCAGAAACGCCGCCAGACCCAAGGGTGCAGGAGATCAGGTCTCAGGGCTGGAGGCCAGGGCACTGGGAGCACCTCGCAGCTCCGCCGTAGGACCAGGGGCTGCTGGGCCACCTCCCCTGTGCGGTCTTCCCTGTGAGATGCCCAGACCCCAGGGCTTGCGCGGAGGGAGGCAGAGGCCGTGAGGGGCGAGGTGGGAGAGTAGCTGAGGGAAGGGGAGCTGAAGGGAGGGTTAGTCTTCCTGGAGCTGGAAGGGGGGGCCTGGCTCTGTGCACTCCCCTCATCACAGGGGCCTCGGGGCTCTGGGAGGGGAGCGGAGGGGAGAGGAGGGCACCGCACGGCGACCCCCTCTGGTCTGTCCGGAACTCCCCCTTCTTATCCCCGTTCCGGTCTCCTCCTGTGGGGGCCTGCCTGCCTGCGCCCCCGGACTGACCCCTCACCACCAGGATGGGACTGACTGCTTCTCAGGGGTCAGCGCAGAGCCGGGGGGGGCTGCCCTAAGGGCAGGGTTCCGAAGGAGCCACACCAAGCTCCCATCCATCAGGGCTGGTTCCGGGGTCCCCACACACATGTGGAGCCCCTGGCTTGGGGAGGGAGCAGGGCAGGCCACAGCCCCTCCCCTCCCTGCTGCTCACTCAGTCTGATTTGCTCAGTGTCAAGGCCCCGGGGCCACTCTGCCCGGTGGGGTGACATCGGTGGGGTGACGATGTCGCCAGTGCAGGCATGAGTCCACGGCCAGGACTCACCGGGAGCAGCGTGTGGCCAGAGCCCAGCACACCTGGTGGACACCCCTCAAAGTGGGCACAGGTGAGGGGCGCGTGGCCGGGTCTCTGGACTTGTCCTTTCTGCCCACTGTCGACTCAGCCTCAGAGTGGGGCTGGGGGTGGGGTCCCAGCCCTGGGAGGTGGGGGGGCGGGGGCTGGGGCTGCCCCCAGAGGCTGCTCGAGGGCCTCCAGACAGGCATCCTCATGTGGGGCCCCTGTGGGCACAGCCCTGCATGGTGGGCGAGGGGAGGCTCACAGCCCTGAGCAGCAGGGGGGAGGGGCCCCTTCGGCTCACACCCACTAGGTGGCTGAGGACAGTGGGGACACCTAGCAGGCCCGACCCTGGCTGCTCCCTGTGCCCGGTGAGCCTAGTTATAAACGGGGAGCCCATGAGCACGGTCAGGGCCGAGCGGGGAGCCCTGCGCCCCCAGGATGTGACTCAACACGCTCCTGGGGTCTTAGAGCCTAAGACGGGTGGGTGGCAGCTGTGTTCTCAGCCCTTAACGGGAAGTCGGCCTGGAGACCCGGCCTGGAGTCCTGAGAGTCCCGCCCCCCCCCCGGCCCCGCCCACAGGTGCGGGAGCTTCTGGAATCGGGAAGGGGAGGGGAGGGCGGGGAGGGGCCCTTGTATCCTCCAGGTCCTGCCAGTCCCAAGGGCCTCTGCACACACATGTGTGCACACACGCCCGCACGCAGGCGCCCACACGCGCACACCCACGTGCTCACGTGCGCACATCTGTGCACAGGCGCGCATGCCCGCCCAGACCCTGGCTCTGCTCTGAGCCCTCGGACAGCAGTGTCCGTCCTCGGGCCCCTCACAGCTTGGGCGTGAGAGAGAACCAGATGTGGGCCCCACAGGCCGGTCCGGGGACGGACTCAGCCTGCACAGCCGGCGCTGCTGACCCAGAGCCCGAGAGCCCGCCCGCATCGGGTCAGGAGCCTGGGGAAGCGGGCAGTGTGGGGCCAGTGTCCGCTCTGGAGCCCGCAGCACGAACCTGCTCTCGCCGGGCACTCCCTTGCCCCACCTTACTCTGGGCCTCAGTTTCCCCACCTGTAAATGGGACAGCGCTGGCTTCCCAGTACTCAGATGCTCGCCCTGGGCCAAAATGGCCTGAGACTCTGCTCAGGAAGTTTCTGGGCCGGGAGGGGAGGACTGTGGGGTGGGGGGGAGGGCAGGAGGTGACAGATGACCTGCTCTAGGCCCAGGGGTGGGGGTCACACTTTCCCATGAGCCCCACCCCTCCACCCCTCCCCTCAAGGCCCACCCCTCCAATTCTGGAGCATTGATGAGCCCAGGTCCCCCTGGGCCCCCACCTCTTCTCCTCTGAGGGCCTGAGGGCGCTACCTGCCAGGGGTCGGCAGGGTGGGAGTGAGCCCCCTGGAGCCCCTCCATGGAGTTCAGCCCCTGTTCCGGGCAGGGGAGCCTCGGCAGGGAGTGGCCTGCACAGGGCCTCGGTTCCCACGGTGCTAGAGAGACTGGCTGGGGGCTGCCCCCTCCCCTGTGTGTACCCCCCTACCCCCACTGGGCCCCATCTCTAGAAGCAGCTTTGGGGCTGAGGGTGGTCCAGGCCTGTCCAGACTGGTCCCCACTCCTGGAAACACTTTTCCCCAGCGGCCCCGCGGACGGCAGAGCCCAGCTCCTGGCACCCCTTCCTTGGGAGTTGGCGCCGGGGCTGGGGGGGCTGGGGTGGGGTGGGGCCCCCAGTCTTGGCCACAGTGAAGACTGAAACTGGGAGTTTCAGCTGTGAGGCTGGGGGGGCAGGCGGGCAGGTGAGCACAGCAGACGGGTTTCCTGGTCCCCGGAGGGCTCAGCACCTGACACCGGCCTGTGTGGCCCAAGCCCCTCTCTTTCTGGTATCATGCCTTTGCCAAGGCAGCGAGGGTCCCCTCCACCCAGCCACGCCCAACAGAACCAGCCTAGGGGCATGGGAAGCTCATGGGCTGCCTCAGTTTCCTCATCTGGCATCTGGTCAGCAGGGCTGACCATGGTCTCCCCCCTCTGCCCCCGGCTGCGCTGCCCCCCGGGGTCTCCTAGTCACCCACCGGGACCTGGGCCTGGAGGGGGTCCGTCCCCCCAACCTCCCAGCCTCGTGGAAACCAGCCAGCCTGGGCTCGGACGCCTGCTTAATCTTTTGCTGAAAAGATAATTTCTTTCTGTGCCATTGTCGGGCGCTGGGGTGGGGGTGGGGGGGACAAAGGGGCTTTTGTGCAGACGGCTCTGGGGCGACCCTGCGAGGCCCGGCGTTTTCCCTCCAAACGTAAGACCCTGTAACGGGAAGTCTTTCTCATAACCCCGCCTTTTCTCAAGCACAGATCACTTTTGTTTCTGGGGGCGAGCACATGGCGGCAGGGAGGGCCTTGCTCGCTCGCTCTTCTCCCTTGCCAAACGCCCTGCGCGCCCTGGAGGGAGGGAGGGGCTGGGGGACACTCCTCCGTGTGCGTGCGGGTGTGCGGAGGGGTTTAAATAAACACATTCCTCCGTGCCCGCTGCCCTTGGGGTTGGGAACGTCCCTCCTCCCCTGGCAGCGGGGCCAGAGGGCACCGAGCTGGGGCGCAGCCGCCACACCCCGTCAGGCTGTTGGCTGCGGTGCCCTGGGCGTGCAAAACCCAGGGGAAGTCCCACGCACACGCAAGATACACAACACCACGGAGTGTTCCTCTCCCGGCCAGAGAGCGGCTGTGCTTTCTCTACGTGTCTGTAACTCTGGTCTTGCTTCACAGATGTGGAGCCGCTCCCATTCACTGATTCATTCATTGCACGGCAGCTATCGTGCAGCACAGGGCACCCTACCCTCCAGGCTGTGGGGCGGTCACGGGGCAAACCCACCGTCACCTCATTACGCGTTTGCATCCAATAACACATCAGAGCGTTCGCCGGACCCTTGTGGACGGCTTCTGCGCATTGTGGGCGTTGCCCTGGCTCCCGTGGACGGACCGGTGCTCAGTGCAGCCTAATGTTAAAGCCACTGTTTGTGGACCAGGCATAGCCCGTGGGCCAAGTGCTAGTCTTCATCCCACCCTGCAGAAGAAGAGACGGAGGGTCAGAGAGATGCCCTGCTCTGCCCACCGGTGAGGGCTTGTGGTCTGTTGGCCTTAGCGGCTCATACTGTCTCCCAGCTCCCCGAGCCGGGGGACCTCCCTGTCCCTCGACAGAATCGACCCCAGTCCCTCGGGGGCTCGTCGGGGCCGTGCAAGGGGGGCCGGGCAGACACTTTCTCCAGCATCATTTCATGTTCCCAGAATCTCCCAAGCCTGTGAGGGCCCGTGAGGCCGAGGAGGAAACCCCAGCTCCGGCGGGGCCTGGCCGGGGAGACGGCTGCCTCAGCCTGGCCCGCCGAGCGCCTGGCGCCCCGGAGGAAACACCCGGGTCAGTCGTCTCTGCCTGTTCCCACAGCAAGTATCTGTCTTCGGACCGTTTCACGAATGTGATGACCTCAGGGTCCTCGTAGAAGCGGATCCTACGGGATCCTCCGCTCCTCCCACTGAGCACGACGCCCGCCAGGTTCATCCATGTCCTGGCAGGAGCCGGGATCTCCCTCCTTTTGAGTCTGAGTGACGGTCCACGGTGTAGACGGACCACACGTCTTAATCCATTCATAAACTGACAGACACTCGGGTCGCCTCCCTCAGTTGAGCCGTCGTTTCCGGCTGGGCAAACGTCTGTTCACACCCCGCTTTCCACTCTTCAGGCGTGGGCGCCCGGAGCAGGCCCGCGGGACCCTGTGGCAGAGCTGTGTCTGCCCGTCCGAGGAGCCAGCACACGCTCCGCCACGCCGGCATGGGCCCCTGGCCGCAGGTGCGGCCCGTAAGCGCCCTCCCCCCCCCCGCCCCCACCCCCGCCCTTCCGCCGCACCTCGGCGCACGGAAGTCTCGTTTCCGTGTAGTTCCATCCGTCTGTCTTCTCGCTGCCTGTGCCCGCGCTTCTGTACCCCCGCGGATCTCAGTGTGGACGGGCCCTTCCCCGGACAGCGGCCCTGAGCGAGGCACCCGGCGCGCAAGCGTGGACATCAGGGTCACCGGCCAGTGGGAGGACACACGAGGGACCCCGGGGACGGATTATGGGCCCTGGGAACCGAGGGGAAAGGGCTTCCTGGAGACGGTGCCGGTCTTCTATGCTGAGGCCTCAAGGCACACGTGAGGCCAGGGCCGCAGCGAAGGAAGCATCCGGGGAGGCGCAGGAGGCGGCTGGAGGCACCCCTGCCTGGGCCTGGGCATCCGCCGGCGCACACACCCGGGGAGGGGGGAGGGGTGGCGAGGTGACACGCAGTCCTCTGGTGTGTGTCCACTCCCGTGGGCCCGCCCACCTGCCCCTCCCCAGACCCCTCGGTACAGATGGGGAAACTGAGGCAGGCGGGAGGCTCCCCCCGGGGTCAGCACAGTATGGGTCCCCCGGAGCCCGAGGGGCCAGGAACGGGGCTGCGAGCAACAGAAAGGGTCTCTCCCAGCGCTGGGGCCTCGAGGCTGAAATGCAGTGGGGGGGGCCGCTCCGGCCTCCGGCCTCACGTGGCCTCGCCTCTGGGCCTCTCGCTCTCCCCGCCTCTTCCGAGGACGCCTGGCCCTGGACACAGAGCCCACCCCCATCTAGGGTGTCTCGTCTTGAGATCCTTAACTGACTACAATACAGTCACTTGCTGAGGTTCCGGGTGGACGTGATGTTGGGGGGCCCCGCTCACCTCGCTGCGGGCGGCTCACCCCACAGCCCGGCCTCACACAGCGCTCTCCCACGCTCCGGTCCCTGCTCAACGCTGACTGTCCTCTGGGTCCCCAAGCTCGGGGTCAGGGCACCCGGCAGGGTCTCCCAGACCCACAGAGGCCGACACAGCCCCGCTCTGCTTTCTCACCGCGATGGGGCTTCAACCCCGACTCCTGGGGCCGGCGGGGCCTGCGGCTCCATCTCCGGGTTGTGAGTTCGAGTCTCGTGTCAGATGTAGAGAGGACTTACACATAAAATCCTATAAAATAACACAAGGGGCGCCTGAGTGGCTCAGTGGGTCGAGCATCTGACTCTTGGTTTCGGCTGAGGGTGTGATCTCACGGCTTGTGGGTTCGAGCCCCGCGTCGGGCTCTGTGCTGACAGCTCAGCCTGGAGCTGCTTCAGATTCTGTGTCTCCCTCTCTCTCTGACCCTCCCCTGCTCGCTCTGTTTCTCTCAAAATAGACACGTAAACTTAAAAAATACATGTAAAAAGGCACAAAAAACAAAACACCTAACTTCTGACCTTGGAGGAGGGCTGCTGGCTCCCTCGAGGCTCCTGGGCCGACCCCGGTGTCTGTCGTTGCGCCCAGGCCACGGCCCCCGCGGACAACCCCTGACGGACAAGCCCCGGGCCTCTCCACCTGCCGCCCTCCCAGCTGATCCCTCGACGCCCTCACCACAGCGAGCTCCAGAATGTTCTGTGCTGTGTCCCGATGGAGCAGGTGCGTCGGGCCCCCAGCAGTCACGGCGGAGGCTCCCGTGGCCCTGGCCCCGTCGTGCACCAGAGCCGCCTCTGCTCCCCGTGGAGCCGGCGGGATCGACGGGGACCGTGAAAGACGCCAGCGCGTGCCAAGAATGGTCGTTCTGGCAAAGATGCCGCTTGGGCCCAGCGGCCGTGACGCCGGCTGCCACTGGGCCAGACCTGCGGCAGCCCCCCTGCCGCGACCCCTCTGACCTTCGTGGGAGCCTTAGAGGTGACCCCAGTGGGCACGGGACGCCACCTCTGCTCCCCTCGAGCCCCTGGGGGGGACGTAACCTGCGCCGTCTCCCCACACGTGTGCTGTGGTCCCTGACCCTCCTGCAGCGCCGGGTCCTCGGCGACGCAGCCGCAGGCCCCTCCAGGAAGCGCTGGGGACCTGCCATGTTCCTGGATGACGTCCGGCCTCCTTCTTCGAGGGGCCTGTCCTCCCCCCTGGGCGGTGGGCTCTGGGCCTGACGAGCAGCCCTGGGCCCGGAGCCCAGTGAGAAACGTCTGGGTCACCCCGTTGCCCTGGCCCGACTTGGCCCCATGGGTGGGACGGTCCCCGGGCTGGCTGCCTGCCCGGGGGCCCCGCTGGCCTCCCCCTCAGGCCTGAGAACTAAGTCCTCGCCTGGAGCAGGTCATCTGGTGGCCGTTCCAGCTCCGCTGCCCCCTAGGGCCACCCGTGCCCAACTCTGCCCTCTGACAGTTTCCTTCAGAGGGCCTGGGGTGCCGGGAGGCCAGGCAGCATCCCCCTCTGTCCCCCGGGCTCACAGGGACCAGCGGCGGCAGTGCGCCTCAGCCAGGCCACACCTCACCTTCCTGGCCTCGTTAGCCGGGGTGGGGGGAGAGGGGGTCCCCGCCCGCCCGCCGGGGAAGCAGATGGACGGAGATGGACCGAGCGCCCCCCGGCCTCTTCCGAAGCTCCCCTGCGGACGCGCCTGCCTTGTGCAGCCTCTGGCCCTTGGCCACGTGAGCTGCGCCCCAGCCCCGACCCAGCTCCAGGGCTGAGTCCTGAACCACGAGCCAAACCCCTGGAGACGCAGACCCTCCCTCTCCAGGCTTCATCGCGCGGCGCCGGCCTCCACCCGGCCCCTCCAGGCCCCCGGGTAGGTGGGAGGTATCAGGGGGTCCCCCGTGCGTGTCCGGGTCGCAGGGGTCCCTCCATGCCCAGGCCCTTCTGTCCCACTGCGGCCAGCGTAGGGCGGGCCTGGGGATGGGGGTAAGTCCTGAGGGGCACCTGCCTGCCCAGACAGCCTCTCCTCGGTGCTGGCGGAAGGGGCAGGGGCCACTTCTGAGGGTGCCCCCTCCTCAGCCACCCCCACTCCGGGGCACACGGTCCCCTCTTTCCGGGTCGGAGGCCCGACTCTTCCCCCAGGGACCTGCTGTGTCTCTGTCCCCTGAAATGCCTGATCCCCACTCTGACCCTGGAGCCCCGAGTCACTCAGCCCCGGCACTGGCCGCGATAGAAGGGGGGGCGGCGTGACCCTCAGTGCCCGTGGGCGGGAGGGGGTCAGGCTGAAGCTGGAATGCACTAGATGGGAGCAGCGTTGCCTCACTCAGCGGCACAACCCCAGGGAGGGGCGCGGTCACAGTCCCCACTTTCCAGATGAGGAAACAGAGCCCAGGGTGGCCAGGGGGTGCCCAGAGCGCCCGCCCTCAGTCTCCCCTCCCTCTCCTCCAGCCCCCCAGGCTGCAGCTCGTCCGGGTCCCCGGATGGCCCCCCCTCCCGGGGGACTGGCTGCAGGGCCCGGTCCCCATCCCCCTCTCCAGCTATCAGCTCCCCAGGGGGCCACGTCTGCTGCCCAGAAGCCCCCCCATCTCCCCTCCGCCTTCCCAGCAGCCCTCTCGCACTGGGCGCCACCACCTCACCGGCTCATCTCAGCAGGAAGAGCCCCAGAAACCGGGCCCTGTTGACCCCTCCTCTCCTGACCCCTCTATGACACCTCCGCCTAAGCAGCAACGAGGGTGAGCTCCTAAAAAATAGTCATAAACCACAGCACCTTCTGCTTGAAGCCCCCTGGACTCCCCACACCAACAGGGCCGGGATCCAGGGCCTCCTTGTGGCGCCAAGGGTCCCGCAGGAGAGGCCCTGGCGGCCACCACGATGGCCGTCGTGCACCAGCCCCCGCTCCCCCATAGCCTTGTTCCCTTTCCTTCTGTTTCTTGGAGGCATCAAGCACCCTCCTGCCACAGGACCCTTGCACAAGCTGTTGTCTCTGACACAGACAGCTCCGCCCCTGCTCTTCGGGTCACTTAAGTCTCAAGGGGCCTTTCCTGGCCACCCCAGGGCGGCCACATGTACTGCTCCCAAAGCATGGCTCTCAAGTGTGTGTGACGAGCCCCTCCGAGCAGAGCCCCCCACACACACACTCCGTCCTCTGCACGCAAGTGCATGAGTGAGGACAGGAGCTACCCCACCCCAGGCTGAGAGGCTCCGGTTCGCCCCTCTGCGGGCGGGTGCGCCTTCCATCCTTCCCGGGACCCTGCGGGACCCCTGCCCAGCTGCAGGTCCTGGGGGGCACGGGCGGCTGGCTGGCAGCGTGGCGAGGGGCTGCTCAGGGGAGCCCTTGCCCAACCCAGGGTCTATTTCTTGCCCTGACCCCCTGGGGTTCCAAGGGACCTTGGGGGACAGACCAGACCAGCAGGAGAGGAAATCCTTGTATTTTTCGAGGACAAATGGCAAGAGCTCCTCTTGTTTATTTCCTGGTGCGTTCATTGTGGAGCGCTGGGGGGCGGGGGGGGGTGCTCCTGTTAACTCTTTCCCCCCCGAATTTAATTGTCCCCCTTCCGGCCAGCCCCCTCGGGCTCCTGGCGCCTGGGGAACTGCTTTCCTGAAGCCGACTCCCAGTGGGGGGAGGGACTTAAAAGCACAACAAATCAAAGCCACAACTACAGATAAGCCCAAGTGTGGAGTCTGAACTCGGAAATGTGCCCCGAGCTGGTTCCTAATGGGGGGGGGGTGGAGGCGGACCGGGAGCCAGGGGCTGGGCTGGGACCCTGGGATCCGGAGGGGGGACCCCTCCCCCCAGCAGCTAGGAGGAGCTCAGCTAAACCGTGGGTGGCTGTGGGGATCCTGGGCTGGGGGAGTGCGTCTGCCGCGAGATATTCCCATGACCTCACCCGGAAGGGCTGAGCATGGGAGGTGAGCCGCCTCCT